GAAAGCATGTTTGACAGCTACTTTCTTAACAATCGCGAATACCAATATTATACGCAACTGAAACACTTTACACAAGGCTTAGTGATCCATTGAGGAAATAGTAATATTTTAAGACTGACGCATTTCACATAAGTATTAATACGTTGCCTACCATATTCTCGTTAGCTCTGCAATGTCGTCAAAATGATAAGTGAAAGAGACAATGTTAATCAACATAAATGCATATATTTGTAAGGAAACAATAATCAATCAAGTTAAAAATGACTCAGAATGAAAGAGTACATATCTACAGTAAAGAGAGTTAATAGCAATCCAGTGAAAAAATCACAGTTGTAGAGTTTTTTGTAGCTGCATCATAGTCATCATTAAGTCCACCAAACACTCTATCCACAACATTTGTATCCGTTTGCTTCCGTTGTTAGTGGTGCTGAACCAGTCTTTGCAGTTTTCGTCATCACCAGATCCGTTCGCAGAAAATAGATGTGAACTTTTCAAGCAGAGATTGAGATTGTATTCCTTCGAATGCCTTCAGCCATATTGAGAAAATTCTGAGGATATATACATATCAGGTAAATTAATCTTACCTCTGGTGAACAATTCTTAATCTTAGCAGCACTGAATATGTGAACAAAGCAAGGAACAACCACAGAGTTGGTGAAATTCTATAGATTACTCGTCCATATATTCCACGATATATTTCAGGAAATGTGTAACTTCCAAACCACCTGTCACATTTTCTCTTCTATAAAAAGCAAATATTATACACGTGACTCTCATCCATCCGTTACAATTAACTGAAAGAGATAAAAATCTTCAAACTTTATATTTCTTTGATTAAGTTACCCAGTAATATTCTCCTTGTAAGTGGATCTAATGTTTCTCACATCTGTGAAGTTTATAAGCATGTTAACTTGGTCCCTTAAGCTAAAAAATATAATGCCTATCCGCTTTTATTATCGCAATTTCAAAGCCCGCTTCAGTAACGTATGGCACGTATTAGCCGCAGCGTTTACGCAAAGGAAACTCTACCAATCACAACATACATTCGTGACCTTGAAGTGCTCAGCCTCTCCATAAGCTGTGCCGCTATTCATTGCCTATACTCTAGGGTTACCATACATCAATGCCTCTAATGTAAAACTAATTCTATGGACTGCTGCACACATGTGCAGGAACTAGTGAGACTTAGCAACTGATACTCGTCATTATACCTGGGGAGTAGTTTTAAGTCAGGACAAGAAAGATAACCTGTCTAATGTGTTTTTATGCGTATCCTTGTAATTAATTTGTTGAACTTTGCCTAATTTTTTTTGTGCGAAACGTTCTTTATTTTTATGGTTAGCCGGCTGAAGGTCAGTCGTTCGCATCCCTTGGGACGCTATTGTTTAACTTTGTCACAGGTCCAAAACTTACTGAGCTATACGGGTTTTATGGTTAACTTCTTATTATAGACGTTTTGCACTTCCTTTTGCTTGCAGCAACTTCAATAGGCATTCTTAGAAAGGATAAGTAGGACAATATTCACTTCGGAAATGTTCGAGTAACACCATACCGTTTCTGTAACCCCTTCGTCCCGGCATGTTCCCACGTCTGTGACTAAACTGCCCCCTTCGTCTTAGATACAGACGCTAGTGATACTGGCATTAGAGCTGTTTTTCTCCAAGATGTGTAGACAGGAAAAAACGGGTTTTTGCGTAAGCATTCAAATAGAGGTAAATTACTGCACCCTAAAGAAAATTGATATCTTCATTGTACATTTCAGAGTTTGTCTGCTCGATCGACTTTTGCTAGTGCGGAGTTTCGTAGAGGTAGTAGTAGCAGCTACATTCAAACGCAGGATATACTGTCTGGAGATTGAATGGTTTCGGCATAAAATAACTGCAGACCAGTCGTTGTCTACGACTTCGCGAAAAAGCGCGAAGCTACTGCTACGTCCTAAGTCGATACCGTTACAGCTGGTGTAATCTTCAATAATTGAATTGTTCACTAGGGTTTGTCAGTCTTATCTATCTCCTGGTTGATGATCAAGCTCTGAAAGTACAAGTATTAGCGATCTCTTCCTCATAATGGTGATCGTGAAAGCATTCACCACGGCATAAAATCCACAAGAAGATGGGTTGAGTAATGGGGTCAGTTAAGCAACTAAGCTGCTTATCAAGGTATTCGTAAATCAAAATAATCCAAGGGAATAGGGCATATCTGTTTTGGAGTGTTCCATGTCACATAGGAAGTTAAACTGACTTCAAACAATAGAGTAGGATTCACTACTGGCATCAGAACATGAAATCAAACTTGAACAAGGTACATGAAATTATCAGGGATTCAATTCAAACTCATTTGATTAATAATTTGAAATTGAATGATGGGAAAGTGCATATATCTTCTGTATAGTCGAGAGATGAGTTTATATCCCCAAGAGGTGTATCAGCCAGAAGAGTTTTTCAATTCTACTAACAGCGAGAAAGGCCATTTACCGTAGTGGATATAGTACGTGACTGCATTCACAGGATCTAGGAGTGCAATTCTGGATGTAGTGACATATTTTAGTAAATTTTGACTGTCTGGGCAGCAAGCCATATTTTGGGGAATATCCGTGGACAATAGCATACCACTAAAAACTAAGCTCTCACAAAATCGTGGGGAGGGAGGACGGTAATTTAGAAAATAAGGTTTCTGGGTTTTGTTATGTCTAAATTGCGTTTTTCTGATTTCAGGCCAGCTTCATGGGGTCAACGGATTAGCGTACCACGACGTTGAGACCTGCGACCAATTCAAAGAAGCTCCAACTGTGTAAAATGATCGGTTGTAAATATAATCTCTGACTTTATATGATGGTTCTCACTAGCATGAAGTATGTGTACGATCAACATGCCAATATATGCTGTGCTGTGTTTTTTCAGATTGTCACCAGAAGCTTGATAGGTGGGTTTACTGCTCACCCTAATGATGAAGCTGTCTTGGAAATCTGTCTATTAGGTTTATTTGCTCGACATTTTGCATACCCAGATTAAGCCAGAATGCTCAACTTCAGCTGACAACGCTATACTTATGCCGAAAACAACTGATATGAGGTTATTGAAAGTAGTTAACAAGGGGGAAAAGTAAGAAGTAAACACAATTACTTTTCAACAATTATAGTTTCGATAAGCTGACGGCCATGTTTGTATTATAGACTTTCAGGTCTGACTGTATGGCTTGAAACGTGTCCATTGTTTCTTATCTTCCTGCTAGAAACAAATAAATACATACCGGAAAACTCCTCTCTTCCTTAGTTGCAGGTTCAAGTTACAAATTATAGAGTTATATATCCAAGCTGCGTAACCACATGTTGTTCACTCGACAACCTAAAAACATCTATTCCAATAGTCTTAGATATCAAACGATTTTCTGAGCACATTGTTGTAAGCCATCAGCTTAAAAGCTAAATTCAAGTTAAGGATGTTTTAAGCCACCTGCAAGAAGTATACCTCTTTGATATAAGAAGTAACTTCAGCGCTCTACGTTATTAAGAAGTACTAAATGAATTGTAGCTTGTTGCAACTGAATTATCATTTCGTAGCTCACAATTATTCTTGTTTGTCATATGTACAAATCAGAAATGATTTGAATAATTAGAGGAAATATATATGTAATAAAATGTAGAGAATTGGAAACAGTAGTCCCAAGTAGGGTTTATTTCTTCTTGCATTAAACAAATCGAATTATTTCGAAGATTTTGTGGTCTGCACAGAACCAACACAGTATGAATAACGAAGGGTAGATTATGTATGCTGGAATTCTTTATTTGATAATAAAGATCATGACTTTGGACGAAACAAGAAAGTGTGTGTTGTCACTGGTTTTGCAGCAATTTGAGGGCATATTGCACTACATGTCACCAACAGAAACACTTATAATGGATTTAGATAAATTTGAGATGTCCTCGGTGTATGCTACTTATAGTAGTGCGGAAATCACCCTATATTCTATGTTGTACTTTTAGTAAAAATATATGGTATAGTGAACACAGCAGTCATACAATTAGACTAGAAATTCTTTAGTACAAGTCCACCTGTATCTGCATGTCGAGGCAGAAAACATTGAGCGATTATTGTGTTTACTACTTGCGTCTAGATCCACTTATTACACAAGCCTTAATTGTGTTATGCATAGAAGGGTTTTGAGTCATTCAATGTACTCAATTTCAGGGAAGGATGTCTGCTGTAATATATATATATATATATATATATATATATATATATATATATTGCTTCTGAAGACGCGATAACGCGGTGCTGCAACTCCATGTACAGAGTTAGTCGCAAAAGACGGTTGTGTATGTTAACTTCAATGGAAATAAAGAAGTATTCGTGATGAATAACGGCACCATGTCAAAATCTCGTTACACTTAGGATAGCAAATAAGTTCTGCGTCACATGCATTCCTCAAAGTACACGTCAGTTCTATTGGGTCGTATAATTGCTCTCACTTATCATTTTCCTTGAAAAATGTAGCGATACGTCACTACCATATTGTGTGTCATGTGAAAATACAGTAAGACAGCTATGCAATCGTTGCGTCCAGTCGAATGAATAGGCCATATCATATGACTGAGAAATAAATTTAGTGGACAGTAAGTCGTCGATATGATCAAGGATGTAATGCAATACATTTGCGGTTATCAGCGTTAGCATGAATTGTTGTACCTTTCTCCTTACCTGATTACTTTCTAAGTGAAGTTTACGTGTTGTTACACCGCATCATACATCTTATATTGATATACTTGCAAAGTTGTTGAATGTACTCTTTCCTTCTGGGCAATTTCGTGTGCCCAAGCTAATTTACTTATTAGTTTGAAGTTAGAAGCCTTCTGTCTACTATGAAATTTGGCATCTACCCAAAACATTCACTTCAAAAGCCGCTATCTTGTAGTACGTGTACATGAAACATGAGGATTGAATTCTGAATTAGTAATATACTAGGATGCATTTTATGATAACAGCATTACTAGAAACAATAAGATGGTTTTGTTGTCACTGGTAATATGATTCCTATTAAGACTGTTTTGTTAAAGCAATCGAAAACCACAACATTCATTTTTTACTTACAAACATCTGACAGTACGACGAACAATACAGTCTAGTCATTTCACCTTACATAAACATACAAAACGATTTAAGATTTGGAACGAATCATTCTAGCGTCTTCTTTCTGCTGGTGCTAGTCATTGCTGCTTAATTAAAGCTTACAGAAAGACTTATGTGACGTCAAATTAGATCTAAACTAATTACAACGTTTGTTCTAAAGCCCAGCGTTTTCGATAGAAGCTGTAGCTAGAGTCCTCAAGATGTCGAGAATCAATGGTTGATGTCTTTTGTTTACGCATATGTTTTCATCTCCCATATCCTAAAAATGTTCACTTTATTTTCGTTCCTTCCGTGCACCTTCGTCTTTAGTATTTTTCACTGACTCACCTCCTAGTTTTCACTTCATGTAAGTTTCTGTATAGCCAGTCATTCACTCTTACACAAAAAAGTGATTCACTGTTTGACGTGTCCGCTTATAGTTCAGTTGGGCTACTTTGAGGATAAGCAAAAGAACATACTGCTGTCGATATTCCAGCGAATATTATTATTATTATTTTATATTTTATTGCAGCTTGATTCCATACAGTATTTTTGATACAAGTCTGGAATTTTCAGCATGTGTTGTCGGTAGCCCAAATTTTGCGGGCCGACCATTGGTATCAGGTGTGCGTCGACCGGGATCGAACCTCGGACCATGTACATGGTTGACGAGAGTCCTAACTGCTGTGCCACCGACGCAACTGAAGCGATTAGATTTCATAACTTGATGTTCTGAAAAATCTTATTTTGATTTTTGAGTACTCTAGAATATATATTGTTCATCTTCACTTTTACTCTTTGGTATTTTAAGCATCCCTTTCTGAAGGGTCGTGCATTCTTTGAGTTGACTAGTTTTTAGGTGTCGACCCACACTTAAATTTTAACTTCATTGTTTTGAATGCCAGAAAAGTTCTCCACAAACATACTATCTGTCTTCTTACACTGGACAAACCATAAATTTTTATTTTAGGCAGTTTCAGATACTGGATGTATTAGAAAGGGGTCTTCCGTGGGAAACGACCAGTCCATTTCAAATACTTTGTCAAAAGCTGCAGAAAGATATGAAAGTGACTTATTAGAAGCAGCAGCTAATTGCAAGAAAAACCATCGATTCGGATACTTGGATCTTTTGACGTCAGCTTCTGTTTCTAGTCCATGTATGCTTGGTATTGATGAGGCAGGAAGAGGTCCTGTCCTTGGTGAGTTATTCTTTTTTCTCTTTAGTCATTTTCTCAAATGGTTGTATCTGATAGATCTACATAAATTTTTCTTTCCAACTTTTGTTTTCACTAAGGCCCTATGGTTTATGCATGCGCTTTATCACCAATTAATCGTCTAAGCGAACTGAAAACTATTGGACTTGCTGGTGAGTATGACTAGTCTTACAATACGAGTTATGATATTTAGTGGTCCAGGCATTACATACACAATAATTAATTAGATGTTTCCAACAGATTTTTTTTTTCTACTAGTATTTCGCTTCTTTATAACCTAGATTCAAAGACGTTAAATGAAAGTCAACGCGAGAAACTGTTACAGGATATGTTGCATAAATGCGACTGGATATCTGGTGTTGTGCATGTTATCAGTCCTGTATTTATTACAGAAAAAATGCTTGATAAGTGAGTATATCTTAAATCGCATAAAGTTTTGTCATTTTATTAAAACGTCATTGATTTTGCATGCATTAACAATCTATCATAATAAAACTTCTATGAAAATCACTAGTTCAAGTTATAGCACTTAATGACAGAAAAGAAAAGAAACAGCGAACAGGTGCTAAAAGTGTTATTTCATGGTGAGTTTTATCACTCACTAAAATTAATTAAAGAACACTGGGAATCAAAGGAGCTTTTTCACAGCCTGGGAATCTGAAACACTACGTGTATGGGCGTGTTATTATTTAGCCAATAAGGTGGATGAAACTAATTACCACCAAATATTGTAGAAAATAGGAAGATAACTAGTAAGAATTGGTTGAATAGGTACTCAGGCTTTATAGAAAGTGCCAAGGTCGATTCTGGGGTATTACACTAATGATTTTTTATTATTTTGCAATTCTCAAACACTATTCCATAAATTGTATGTAATTAATAACCTCTTATATAATCCCTCTCAGTATTATAGTTAACTTCACCCTTTTTCAACCTAATCCTATTGAGATTGTTCTGGATAATATCTTAGCTACTTCGGTTAATATGTGCTTTTCAACTCCATAGACTAATTTATCTTAGTTCTGTCGTATAGAGGCAAAACAAGAGTTCAGTCACTTCCGAAAATTCTTTGAAAATAAATGCTACTGTTATGTAAAATAAATACGTGTATTTTATCTCATACAAAAGTAGAGATGTTAAAGTGTAATATATGAACAGTCAACTGTTGGTCGTCTGTCAACTACTTCATATTAGCTAAATGATACTAAGCTGCTATTTAGTGATGATCTATGTGTGATGTCGATTACTATGCTTATCCTCCATTTTATTTTGATAGCACCTTATAGAGGAGCTATGGCGCACTGGAGTAGGCATTCCACTTACAACTACTGGATCTGATGGTTTGACTCCCGCTTCACTGAGGTTGTGTTAACCCAATCATAATAATTTTGTTTTTACTGTTAGATTTTTTCTCCTTCACGTTCCCCAGTGGAACATAGGGCTTCAAGCTAGTGGCTTGAAGTTTCTGTAGCAGTGTTTATTTTACAGGATGGGGTTGTTAGCCTCATGCCCAACCTTTCCTCTTTACCATTATTATTTCTGGCTCAGCGAGGTAAAGGAGTGCGTCAACCGGGAATCGAACCCCGGACCATGTGTATGGTCGGCGAGCGTCCCAACCGCTATACCACCGACGCACTTTACTGTTAAATAGCATAAGATTAACATTACAATAAACCTCTTCATTATGCCATTGTATTCTCAGATCGAAGACAAGCCTGAACGCTATATCACATGATTCTGCTATAGATCTTATTCAGACTGTTTTGGATCAGAAAATCAATCTGGTCGAGGTAACTGCATTTTACTAGTGCTATATATATGTATTTATTTCGTATTCATTGTGTTCAGTATTGGCTCGTTTTTTGAATGGTTTACAGTTGAGATATTTCTGCATACCTTATTACTCTTGTAAGTTCCCAGTCTGACCTCTGTATAGGCCTTAACGTCAGCACCTACTAAACTAGCTTTCCTCGGTTAACCCTGATCAGTACACTACCTACCGTGTATGTACTGATGAATGAAGTCCAGGTAGGAGGCTTATGCACTGTTGTGTGCCCCGATATGAATTATATTTATATAACAAGCGAAAAACCAAAATTAATTAACTGAGTTGTTATGTCCACTTATCTACCGGTTCTTGTATTGTATGATGGAAATAATTATTAGTGGTATGTTTAGTGTTCTCATTGGTCATCTACTGGTTTTCGCATTTCTTCACTAAGTATTCCGTGAGGTTATTGTAATACTAAGTAAGTCTTCGTTTTCAAGACTTACCACTACACACGAGTCGTAATATTCCTATCTGGGAATTCCACTTTTCATTATTATGGTATCAGATTGAGTTTAACAAATTAAATCTATCCATATAAACGCAACTGGATAGTTTATGGAGCTGTAAAATCATCTATTACAATCTTCATGATTGATATTCCGTATTTTTTAAGGTGTTTCAAAAAAGAGTACTACATATTTCAAAGTAGATTTCAACTGAATTCTAAAGTATTTTGATTTGACACTAGTAGTAGTGCGACGCGTCTAGTCCTGTGATTGGTGTAGACTGAATTCTATCAGTCAGGTTGTAATGTGACCACCATTCTAGCTAGCTCGCCATTACGGTGCACATTGATTTGATGGTATTAGATGGTTGGAGGCAATCGGCCACAGGAAGCCTTGCACCTAGGTTTCGTGCTAGTTGGCACTCGTCAGCAAGGCTTATCTGCAACCTTGAAGGAAACATGTCCCTTCTGAGACTCGAACCCGTGTCACCCAGTGCTGCAGTCAGAGACGTTATCACTGAGCTATTCGGGCTCGCGATTGACCTCCTGTAGGACTGTAGGACTAGACGCATCGCACTAGTTACTACTGTCAAATCAAAATATCCACTACAGTCCTACAGGAGGTCAACCGCGAGCCCGAATAGCTCAGTGATAACATCTGTGACTGCAGCACTGGGTGACGCGGGTTCGAATCTCAGAAGGAACATGAGTTCCCTCAAGGTTGTAGATACGCCTTTCTGACGAGTGCCAACTAGCACGAAACCTAGGTGCAAGGCTTCCTGTGACCGATTATCTCCAACCATCTAATATCATCAGAATTCCAAAGTGTCGGAGACAACAGTTGTTTCCTTTTATTCAGCATTATCATTCGGGGCAAGATCAACTCCTGAAGGTGGCATGAGCAGTGAGAATGAGTAGTAGTGATGCAGATGCATTCATTCACTGAATCAGTAGTTTTTATTCTACTTGAAGGCAGAAGATAATGTGTGTCACTTCTTAATAACTATTAATGAGTAATTCACAAAGTGTATACAATTACTTAGTTATGTGTGTAACATGCTAGTTAACTTATCTTCTTGATTATACACTAGATATATCGAATTTTAGATAATTGACAATTTTACTCAGTCAGTCTGTTTGCATTTTTAAGGTATATGTGGATACAGTTGGCAAAGCTGAACATTACGAAGCTAAACTACAAGGTCTTTTTCCACAGTTAAAGATACGGGTTGAAAGTAAGGCTGATGATACATATCCAATTGTTAGTGCTGCGAGTATCTTTGCCAAAGTAAGTCGAATTTTTAAAAAACTGTAGAAGAAAAATAGTGATTTGCGTCGAATTTTGTCTAAGTTAAAGAATAACGATCTAAGGAATGTGGATGTACGACTGACCTTGAAGCAAAAAGTCAAAGAAACCAGGTGTTTTAAAAAAAATACAAATGACGTTTATTTACAAGAAATATATAGACGATTGTCATGAAACACCTTAAACAGGATATTTTTAACGTGGCATGACTTAAAAATATCTACCAATTATGTTGAGTATTAGTTAAGTTTATGTACCTATGTATTCATCGAAGTGACTGAATATGAGTTGTTTTTCTGACCCATTTATCGCTCTTATCCCGTTTTTCAGTCCTCGCCTAAAAACTTCCAATCGAATTAGTATGCATTCCGTTAAGGGAGTCGATAAAGTCGTGTGAATGATTTACTCTATAATCAATGAAACCCAAATTTGATAACCAACTGTATCTGGCCCATTTGTTTGTATGAATTATACTGCTGGGAATTACTAACCTTTATATAATAGGTAAACGAGTCGCGGCATTACTATTGGTAATTGCCTTCACAATTCCTTTACGAATGTGTGTCCCAATGCCCGAACAGCATTTGTCCTAAGGTGACTACGATTATATTTCTCAATCAGGATGGCTTCATCTACGTGGATAATAGCACCCCACTCGTCCCAACAGCTACATGTCGGTGTTCATCTTTTACGATGCTGTATCTCTGCAGTGCTGGTACCGCTACGCAGTAAATAGCAACGGGTTCTCCTTTTGTGCAGCCATTGATTTCAACTCAGTCTTAAATACCTAATAATGGCAGGTGAAAAGTATACTGTCAAAGACAGCTTCGAATTAGAAAGGAAAGTTCCTAGAAATGAATGAATCAAGTGTGTAGCTTACCATCTGGAACCCAGTTTGTTCCCTACACTGTGTACATCTCAATACATGTCCATTAATTGCTTCTGAACACCGCTTGATTTACATAGAAACGCCACAAGAGCGTTTACGACTGCGTGCTATTAAACCATTATCTAAACGGTACTTGAAAACGAGATCCGGATTAAATTCGTACCTCAATTCGTGCACAGCGTTCATAGTGGCAGTATAATAATGGTAGGTCTCATTATCGAGCGAGAAGTATTCGTTCAAGGTCATTCGTGCGTTCGCACTCCTCGATCGCTATTCTTTGAATTGGGCTTACTTTTATCTTGTTAATTCTTCATTAGTTTGGTTATTTGCTCAATTTGATTTGTGTTTTAAAATAGTAAAATTGTAGTTTACATCTCTAGGTAGTCTCACACTAGCTATCCTACTTTGGGTGTAGTTAATAACCTTGTAATAGATACTATGGCCTCAGTATACGTGTATATGGATCAACGCTATAATGTGTGAGCAAAAGTAAGATTAATCAGCTCCATTATGCAAAATAAGTTTGGTTTTTATGATGTTACTTCAAGCAGCTGATATAAAGGGCTACCCCACTTATGTCTCCAAGTTTATCCGTTGTTTGAATTGAATTTAGTTGGCTGACATTCCTCCAAATTTCGAAGACAAGATTAAATTACACGATTGGACGATTTCACTTGTTTGAATGTAGCATACGGTTTATTAGATTGTAGAAATATCTAGTTATTTTTCCATCCATTAATTTACTAGCATCACGGCTGTGATTCTATTCATTGTCTTATTTTCATTAACCTTCCGTGGATTTCTGCCTATAAAAATTAACACCTTATGATTAATTTATATGATTTGCTTTATTCCTAAACAGCATTTGGAAGTCGTAGCGACTAGTAGTGTGTCCTGTTTTCGTGTTATTGTTCTGCTTTTGGATTTTGTCCAGTACAAAACCTGTTACTGATTTATGCTGATTTTCAATCTGTGTCCTAGATTGAGTTGTTTGAAAGGGTTTTTTAGTGCATTCAAAGGGTAATGAATTAGTTGCATGCATCTAATTGATACATTTATGGTGCATTGCGCTTACATAATCAAGTCAGTGTATATTGACTTGTAATTCATTTAGCTTAAAATATCTCCTATGATTAATTTTATTTTAAATTCAGGTTACTCGTGATCGTGTTCTCCAGATGTGGCCTAAAGAAGAACGTGGTAATGTACCAGAAGGTAGTGGCATTGGTTCTGGTTATCCAGGTGGTAAGTGTTATGTGCATTATTATTATTATTATTGTTCCCTTGGGTTCCTAGTGGAACATAGGGCTTCAAATGCACGTCTCCACTTGCTTCTGTCTTCTGCTGTGCTTTTCACCTGTATCCATGTTAGTTCATACTGTTTCAACTCCTCTTCACACGATCTCCTCCATGTCACCCTTGCATTGACATCTCACTCGCCGCTTCCCTTTCTGCCTGGTTCCACTCGAGCAATGGCCTGACGCGCGATGTCGCCAACCGGCCTCCTCAGCAAGTGTCCAATCCATCTCCACTTTCTCCTGCATATTTGTTGGCTGGCGATTGGTTCTTGCTTTGTTTGTTCCCATAGTTCCTTGTTGGTGATTCTTTCCGGTCAGGCCATCTGATCTTCAATATAGAGCGAAGACAGTTGTTAATAAATGTCTGCAACAGGCTGTTGGAAACATTCTTTGTGACCCGCCAAGTTTCTGATCCGTACACAAGAACTGACTTGTTGTTTGTATTGAAAATCCGAACTTGATGCTGAGTGACGAAGATTTCCAGATTGGTTTCATTTTGATGAATGTGTTTCTCGATATGTGCATTAGTGGTGAATTACACAAATAAGACTTTCTTATTCAACAATGACACTGACAGAAGTTAGAACCAGAGCGAGACAGCTATGGTTTGTCCTTTGATTTCTAATGGTTTGGAAGGAATTATACCTTAGAATTAATGATTATAAAATATAGTTTTTGCTTGCAGATATAGCCCCCTAACATAATGTACAGTATACTGTCTTATTCTTAAATAGTTGTCTTTTGTTATGTGTGTATTATTCTAAGGCCTTATTACTTTATTTTTCAGATCCTGTTACAAAGAGTTATTTGCGTATGTCTATGGATCCAGTTTTTGGATTTCCATCAATTGTACGATCTAGTTGGTCAACTGCATTTATTTTGTTAGTCCAACACGGTGTACCAGTTAAGTGGTAAGTTTTAATTTTTGGTATCCTTTTAAAAAAGTGCCTATCACATGTAAGTACCAGTTTAGTTATAAATACTATAGAGAGTAACGTCCTTCCCTATGAGTTTAGATTCCTGTATAGTTGAAGCTTTTTCCCACTTATGAAAATAATTGTTAAAGTCAATAAAGGTGTCATATCTGCAATTTAGATCCATGGTTCATTGGTCTGTGTTCTTGTCTACCAATCACTGGGTTACAGGTTCGAACCCTGCTGCTCCACCTACAGAGGTTTGGGCGGGAAGGTAGTAACACTAAGCCTCACACAATATTTGTGGCACACTGTCAGCTGTATGGAATTGCAGCTGGTTGTTGAGTAACATTTTTTAAAGTCATACTAATATATTATTCTAATGATACAATCATATATATATATATATATATATATATATATATATATATATATATTAGCATTAAATAGCGAAACGTCAGTAAAAATCAACAATATCGTTTTGTTTTTCATTCATTGGGAAATACAAAAACCTTTATTATAATGAATGTCATACTAATATAACTGTCCAACTATTATACTAAGTAATGTATGGTCAAGATAAAGTGTTACTCAATAAATAAATCAAAACATGTAATATTCCCAGCATAGTACACAAAACTCAGTGTATGTTCTTTGTTCATAAATGAAGCTTTTAATACTATCTGGATCATTTTCATCAATTCATCTTGTCCAAATTGTAGAACCCCATGTTTTACTTATATTTTACAACGCTAATTAGAGAAGTAAAAACATTTAATTGAACAAAGCAAGAAGAGGGCGTTCAGCGAGATGAAAATGACGTCATGATATTTTGTTGTTTCTCGTCAGTTGCATACATAGTGCAATTTACACACGCTAAATTTATTTATGTATTTATCTATTTATGTGTGTTACTTATGAAGGTTTCTTGTATAGTAATATGATTATCATATCTAGATGTTTATAATTGTATTAATTCTACCATAATAATTCCAGTTTATGTGCTCATATTATTCACTTAATGATGGCGTTAAAAGATTATCACTGACAATGTATGCATTGTACATTAGTAAAAATTGATGCCTATTGTGTTGTCACAGTGTTCATGTGTTTCGTAGGTATTTAACCCCAAAGAGAAATTATATAAATAAAGGTGTTTGTGGAGTGAATAATGAATTGATGATTCCTACCTTAATTTGTGAATTTATGCAATACCGTCTTTATTTTCACAGTTATTGCTTGTTTGTTTTAAACTTACTGCAGGAACGAAATCTCTTCAGTTTACAATAATTACGTGAGATTTATTAGTCCCTTTAATTATTTCATCTTTGACTTACTCAATTTTACTTTGATCAGCTTCACTTCATCAGCTGATTGAGGAGAATAAACAATACTGTAAGTATTCTGTAGAAATAAAAGGGCATACTTTTCTGAAAACAGAAACCTTTACACTGTGATTAGAATGCCCTCTTAGACATTTTTGAATTTTTTAAACAATGAAACGAACTAACGCCAAAATTAACTAACTTTTCTAGAAATCAAATGATGATGACAGTCTATGTGATAACTGAACCTGTAGAGGACAGTAAAACTAATTCGTCATATGGAATAATTGTCATTCAATGTCATAGATAATTCATGAATAGTTCTTTCAACCTTCTTCCTTCACTGCATTCGTAACATATCGGTTGAGAAACCTTTGTACGAATAAGTTCTGATATATCAAGTAATATCCCTACAAGTAGCTGAAATCATATTTTGTATATGTAAAGCTCAGGAAATTAGACGATTTCTTAAGAGAAATAAACCAGGAAATCCTTCAAGATCTCACTTCCAGATTTGACAAAGATCACTAAAGAAACACTCAGAAAACCCATTTTTCCCACCGAATTCGGAAGTGTATCTACCAATTCATTCAGAGACTCTAGCACTCAATCATTAACATCCCAAATAACCTCTACATAGACCTAAGTTATGCACAAGAATGGTTGTATCTGGATAATACCTGACTTGGGATTTTCTCGAATTGACTAGTTACCTAGTAGGAAGATAGCTGCAACTACACATGTAGTACTTCGACGTATAATGTACGACTGGCTACACAACTACCGTTCTCACACCACTGAGTCAGCAGACAGCCTGAGAAGGTAAGGTGTATTCTTCCAACAAGATATATATGTATATATAACTTGAACAATGAATTACAAGTTTAGGGTATAAAAACTGTCTTCTAACCGGTTAAAAACACACCATTGAAAATAAATATCACAACTTTCAATTTTGGTCAGTGAAGAATATTTAGTTCTCATTATTTATCATAAAAATCGGCTGATAACATATGACTGACAGTTTTAGTTTCATGCAATTTCGATTGGCAGACTACCTGAGGATACTTCATGAGTCATTATACTCTCTGTGATAGTCCTAATTGGTTTACCACCGTACTTCTTACCGACCACTTGGTTTCCTTACATTCATTTCCTGATATAAAATTTCCACTGATATAGTCTTCTTGAAAATAGTTGGTATATCACATGGATCTTCTTTCTTCCTGATGTGGTTTTCGTGTCTTAGCAAAAGCAATCTTCTACCTTTAATTTTGTAAGTTACTAGTCCAGTTTTTCTCTTGAAGAACTGCAGCTTTCCATTTATTTTCGATTGCTCAAAAGTCAGGAACACCTGCACACTGACCAATAGCGAAGAATCTGTCTCACGTCACTACAGTTATCGCACTGTTTTTCGTTTTTTTACGCTTTTATTTTGAAAGTGGATCATCCAGTGTAGTGCAAATTTTCTGTTCTAATGTGTTTTCAGCAGTTGGAAATTGATTCCTAGTCACTGGATTTCGGGTTTGTTGATATATCAAGCGGAAAGTTCGAAGCACTATTTATATCACACCCTCCCAACGCCTTACTTTTTGGAAAGGGTGTTTTGAGCATATCAACAAATCTTCTGTCTGACTATTCGACTGGGGATGACATGATGGACATCAGACATGTTGGATTTTATCAGCATCACAGAACTTTGAAAATGGATTGATGTGAAAGCTGTTTTATGTGAAGGGTACACAGAAGTAAATATAAACGTCCGTCCACTTTGGAAATTCAGTCGTTTCAGAAAATTATTCGCAAGATATGCCTCTCCTGAAATTGACACTTCACCCATTTTGGAATAGACTATAACTGTAATTATACGTTAAGTGTCAAATTAGATGCCTTTGTGAACATGCAAACACTTCCCAATATATTTTATGTTCCATTATTTAAGCTTCGGCACTTGTGCGTCTGTGGCACAGTGGTTAGGACTCTCGCCGACCATGCACATGGTCCGGGGTTCGAGCCCACGCCGGCGTACACCTGATATCTATGGTCGGCCTGCAAAATTTGGGCTACCGATATCCATGCTGAAAATTCCATACTTGTACCAAAAATACAGTGTGGAATCAAGCTGTAAATAAAAAAAAATCATAACTACGACCAACTGTTTAGTCGATATATTCCTGATGTCAAGATGAGGTGAAATGAACTATACAACTTAACAACACCAACAAACACCAGATGTTGAGCATTTATCAATAACCATCTCTCTGGTTCCTAGAAAAATGAAATGGGGTGAAAACAACCTAAGAAAAAAGAATACTAAAACAGCTAGTATCCCTCACATTTGTAGTTGATAAGGATGCAATTTTTATTGCATTTGTTACAGGATTTCATTATGAGCTGACATTAGTTAGAGAACCATTGGAAAACCTGGGAGTACTGGACAGCTGTTTCGTCAGCCCTGCTTGGGACTCTTCATCAGTACGCACCCACCGGGATTTGAACCCAGGACCTTCTGGTTACAAGGCGAGCTCGTATACCATTAAGCCACTGGGACCCGATCCAATGGCTCTTGAATTCTAACTTCTGCCAATTCACGAGATAGCGCGATCCCTAGCCATTTATATATTTATAGATTTTCTTTCTTATCCGCTCCAAAAGAATCAGTGGTAGCCAGAATATCATCGTCGCCCGACTCGTTACTCTACTGGAAACATCAAAGTGTATCTATCTGACTGAAATTAAGTTCAGGCTTTATCTTATTTTGAAATTGTGACCTTTGAGTCTAACTGCCTACTCCTGGAGGGTAATAACTGAGATTGACTGTTTGAAATCAAGGATTGTGATCAGTGAACAAGTTAAAAACTGACCATTAGGTGTTTGTAAATCTTTTCTACTTCGAATATCGATGCAAGACTCCACTTCTCAACGTGGCTAGTTTTTCGTTAGCGTTCTTGAGAAAAGTGCAATTGGTTATTTAACACTGTTTCGCGACAAACGCCAGGTAACTGCAACGATACACAATACAATGCACCCATTACACATATTGATGTTGAAATGGTAAGCTGCAATTACGACCGTTTAGCTGTTCGGTAATGCATTGGTAGAATGTTTGTTCATCCACTATGTATGTTGTGTGGATTCGATTCCCGGCCGACGCACTCCTAGACCTTATTTAGCCGGTAGTATTCCAGTACAGAGTCAAAGTTAGGTGTGAGACAAGCAAACCCATCCCGTGAAAATTACACCGCTTCTACTGAAACTCCAGAGCTCATACTTGATGCTTTGTATTTCACTCAGGATGCTAAGGTATGATAAAAGCTTAGTGATACAAAACAGTAGTGGATAATGTTGTCAGTCTTAAAATTTCATGAAGAGACCATCTTGATGGTTTGCATCTTGTACTTTCAATTGATGACAGCTATCGATGATAGTGATCTGCAAATTGATGACTATTACTGGATGTGTAGGGGTGGGGGTTATGGAATTTATTGACGGATACTATAGGAAGGAATTCCATGTGAAATCTATACTGAATTATTGGTTACCATATTTTCCGAATTGTCATTAAATTGTTAGGAATTTCTGAGACGATTTTTGTAAAAGTTGCAAGGGTTTATATTTTGTTTACAAGATAATAATCTTCATTTCACTGAATTAATCTCATCGTTGAAGGACTCAGAGATCTCCACATCGTTAGTAACTTCTAAACAAATATGAATTGATGTGTCAGTCAAACTGAGCACTTAACAAGATGTCAAGTCCGAGTGTATGGAACAGTCTAGGAGATGCGAAGTGATGTTGAATACTGAAGTTACTTACAATAGTATGTTTTTGATGATATATTAGATATCCAACGAATTCAATTCTGAGACACTTCAAGTATCCGTAAAGTATGTCTGATTTGTAAATCTTCCACAGGTGAGCATAAAGATGACCGCAAATTAATTACATGTTGAGAGATGTGGACACAAGCAATAAACTTATTCGTGTTGATTTATTTTCGATTGATCAAGTGGTCTCAGGTTTATATATGTGTAAAATTTGGGCACTATAGTAGTAAGTAATTCCAAATTAGTTTGTTTATTAGATGTACCACACAGTGAAACAGTATTATTTACTGGATGACGTTTCGAACAAAATTTATTGTTCATAATCATATCAATTGTAATCACACGACTTTGAAACTTGAGTTTTTTACTTCTTTTGTTTTATTCTATTTGTCCTAGGGGTAGTAGAATTTTGCAGATATCTGGCTAGAAAGGTGATGAATCATTCCTATTACATGTTTTTGGAGTTTATTCGATAAGCAAAGCTTCTGTTTTCAATCTCTCCCTATACCCTGTGACATTAGATCTTAAAACTGCCATCCTATCCCATCCTATGGTATGGTTGTGTGTGATTGCATGTGATGTAATGGCTGATCTATTCTCTAAATTTCTTATCCTATTTAAGTCAACCAATTTAGATTTTGCTAGGTTTTTATGTTCGGCTAGTCTGACTGCCTCTGTTCTACTAGTTTGACCGATGTATTTGACCTTACAATCATTGCAGGATATTAGATAAACTAAATTGTTTTGTTTTAAAGGCTCCACAGAATCCTTTAACCGACAAAGCTTGTTTCTAATTGAGTTTGTGGGTTTGAATGCCAGCCACTTTTATTCCTGCCTTGTTAAGAATTCAGTGTAAGGCTTCCGAGGTTCCTTCCTTGTATGGAATTATTACTGATGATTTGGATTCCTTATTGTCAGTGTCGTCATTAATATTATTATTCTTATCACTATTATTATTATTACCATTATTAGTGTTATCCTTATTATTATTATTATCACTATCGCCACTATCATTATTTATTTTATTTTTATATATACCTACATATTTCCTGACTAATTTATCCGGGTAATTATTAAGTTTCAAGGCTTCTTTTATGTGTCTCACTTCCTGTCTTAGATTTTCCTTGGTACTACTAAGTTTTTGTGCTCTGTCATTTAAACATTTCACTAATCCTATTTTTACTGACATAGGATGGGATGATCGGAAATCCAAATATCTGTTTGAG